AATAAATCAAAATGCCATACAAAGAAAACACCTAAAAATATCTCCAGTTCGACCATCAACAGCATATGCTACACAAACTATCTATCAACATCTATCTATTTATCTTCGAAAGTATCTCCCACTCTATCTGTGTATATATTTTTTATGGAACAAATCGAACAGCCGTTGCCCACAGAAACAGTGGAACAAACCACCAAAAACAAGAGCTCTTAAAAAATCAAAATGAAGGCAAAGAAAAACCATCGAAATGAAAAAGTTGGTGTGAAATATTATGCGAATTTGTTGTTGGGTTTTTCGCCTGTTGGCAATAACCCCCGCCCCGCTCTATCCCACGACAAGCCCTGCAGCAGCAGCGGCAGCACCCTGTGATTTTTTTTTATGTTTTCCAAAAATTTTAAAATGTTTTCACGGTGGCTTCGAGGCGAATGTCAATAAACAACAACTGTCACCAATTTTCTCGCCATATTTTTCTCTCTTTTTGTTTCGCGGGAGGATGAGTTCTCCTTCTCTAGCTTTCTCTCTCTCTCCTCTCTTCTCTCTCCACTCTCTCCAAATATCTACACGAGTGTGCGAAATTGTCGGAGATTTATCAAATCGCGAATTGAACTGCGGAGGAAGCTTCTCCTTCCGCTACGGCTCCCAGTTCCCGCTGCCTTCACCTTTTGGCAACAATTTCACGGTAAATTATTCGAGTTTCAAATTTTCTTTTTCGCAAATTCATTTAAATAAAACTGCAATTTGTCTGCAGTCCTTCCCCATCACCAGTCCGTCCCCTCGGGTCATGTTAATTTGATGTTAGATGATTATTAGACATTTATTCCACTAAGTAGATTAGTTCAATGAGAATCTGTAAGGTTTCGAGAAAGAGAGGTGGGTAGAGCAAGACAGATCGCTTTAAGACTGAAAAACCCCACATATATATCCCCTTAGAGCGGGTTCTGTTACAGCCCCAACTGAGATTACATCTACTTAGCTTTTAGATGACTCCATTAACCCCTTCAATTCGTTGGATATTTGCACATTCCAAGCAGCTAGGTACATGTATCTCCGATCTATTCCCAAACCCATTTCCATTCCCATTTGCCTTTGGCCCCCGTCACATCCAATGGGCAATAAAATTTGTTAATTCTTCACAGCATAAAAACACAAAAACCGAAACAAAATCAGGGCAAATCTAAAAAACGAAAACAAAACGAAACGAGAGCAATGTTTTGTTCAAGTCTTGATCGGATTCGGATTCGGAGCGTATCGGGATCCAGTTTTGGCTTAAAGTTTTTAATGGCTTACAGAAGCAAACGGCTTAAGGAGGGGGAGTGAGCAGGGGTAGGGGTAGGGAGAAGGTACCTGAAGCCCCACCTTATCTCAAATGGGAAATCATTACGACTCTATATCCCCCTCCCTCCCTGTCTTTACGGCTGTCTGTCTCTCATTTTTATTGCCTTTTTTTCGTGGCAGACAAATCAGAGATTTCGTCGTTCCGTCGACACATTTTTTATATGTATGTATGAATGTCCCAACTTTTGTTGTAAAAATATTTTTAACAACATTTCACGTAATTTCCACGACAAACCAAATAATTACACACATTTTTGAGATCACTTACAAAAGTATTTCTCACATTTTGTGGGGAAATCTGTGAGGAAAGGGTGTGGGCAAGAGTGTGAAGGGAGCGCAGAATTTCAAGGCTGTGTTAGAAATGGAGGCAACAATCGATAGTTTATGAAAATATCGAAAACATCGAAGGAATTTTAGTTGATTTAACAATTAAAATTAAACAATATATTAAGACTGTAAGCGCCAATAAAGGAGAACTTCCAGGGTTAAAGGGTTATCAAAATGAAGTGCTATCAAAATGACTACCCACCCAAAGCTGCAACTTTGTGTTTTTCAACGCCTGAGCCACTCCTTAAGCACTGCCGCTTTCCCGGCTACAATGTCCGCTTGGAATTACCTTTACAATGAAAACCCAATGCTAACCCTCACTTTGATGTCTTCATGTCTTGAGGTTTTAGTGCCGCCGACTTGCATTTAGCGCATATCTCCGGCAAATCAATTCGAAGTTGATTATATCTCTGTCTCTGCTGTACTACGTACTAAACTATCCCCTAGCTTTCACTCTGCTCCCCCTTTTTGGGCGAAGTTTTCTCTTTACAGAACTTTAGAGCCCGCCGACGATTGCAATGCCATAATTTTCAAGCGAAAAACTCCCGTCTCCGCGTCTCCATGCGTCTCCGTGTCCGTTCAGCCACTTCAGTAGAAGAGAAGACTTTACTTTATGAAAAAATACGAAGTATTAAAATCATAAATCTAATTGGAAATGCGCGTCACGTGCGTGGAGCGTTAGTCTCTGCCACAAAGGAGCTGCCGCTGCCACTGCTGCTGCTGCTGTCGTTGACTTCTCGACTGCAGTGGCAATCGTATCGTGTGTATTCACACACACACACTCAGTCTCACATATGTGAGCGAGCGAAAGATACTCCTCCCCAGACTTTAATTTCAGCAGCAAGATTTTACTTAAAGAGATTAACTTTTTCTAGGCTCTCCAAGGCGAGAGGGACAGGGCCCACGCCCCCATCATCACAGTAGTTGCTGCTTCTTGGGTTGAAATATTCATGAATCCCCCAAGGAGGAGCGGTGCGGGCCATAAAACAATAAAACGTTGAAGGCAGCCATAGAGGCCATAAAAATATTTAATGCAAAAGGAATTGTCATGGAATGGAGCTACCTCCCTGCCCCCACAGTTCCACAGATCCAGAGAGAGGCAAATGACAATTGTTCTACGGATGGATACCAGGCACTGCTCTGCCTCTCTGTGCAACAAACAAATAAGTCTCCAAAGACATATGAGGCGAGGGCTGCCATAAATTCGAAGCAGCAGCTTCTTCAATTATGCAACGGAATGTTTTATGTGCCACAAGGAGTCCCGGACTCTGGGACTCCAACTCAGAAGTGCATAATTCCTTGTGGCCACAGGATATGCTCAGCTCTGCTGTATTCTGTTTTGAGGAGTTACTTTACTTGATTAGTGTCGAGTGAGTGATGAATAAATAACACAAGAAATTATCACCAGAACCCAGAGCCCAGAACCAGCAAAACTTTAAGGAAACTCAGGTTTGAGGTTTCGTTTCGTTTCGCGTGCTTCTTCAATCATGGTTTGGAATTTACATAAAATAAACCTTTTTCGGCAAAACTGTTTGATCCGCAGACAAATTACCGACAAGAAAAAAAAAGTACAGAGAGAAAAAATGGAAGAAAAAAAGGGAAACATCCACCTCAAGAAGGAGTTGAAAGGTAAAATATTCAAATGCAGACCCCACTGCATAAAGAATAAGTTCTCTACGCTCGCTACGTTGTCTACATATTAAAAAGTACATCAGAAATCATTGGAAATTCTGTAGAAATGCGGGTAAAAGTCTTTAAAGAAAAGAAATAAATCATGGTAAATTTGAGAAAAATATTAGAAAAATGTAACGTAAAGAAATAAATCTTTGGGAATTAAAAAAGAAGAGGAAAATGTTTGTATATCTATTATTTATAAAAAAAATAAGAGTTTGAGAGTAAACCTGCATTCAAGGTACACTGGTTTATGGTTCCAACATTTCCCACTGACCTTTCCTAAACACTTACAGTCCCATGCTAAACATTTACAGGTCTTTCTTCTACATTTACATAGCTAACCCACACATTTTCCACTCCATTTTCACTCACAATTAAAGTTCAAAGTGCACACAAGTTGCACATTTTCTATATCTTTTGTACAAAATGGCAGACGTTGTTTGTCATTAACAGTTCCCCCATCCACACCAACAAACAGCAGACCTCCGCACACACACAACAAACAACAGTAACAGCCCCAACATTCGCCCCAAACATTGACATCGACATCGACATCGGACATCGAGCATCGAAGGCAGTAATCAGTCACATCCAAGCATCGACTTTCCAAGTGAATGGGCGGGACGTGACTGGTGTTCGGGCGGGAGTATGTGCTATATATTTGTATATAAGGGGAATGTATACGTATGCATATAAGAGCTGGAGGGGGAAGCTTATATATAGTTCCATCCTTTTCTGTCTGCCAGAGAACATTTGTATTCTATTTGCTTATGTAAAACGAAGAGCTCCAACAAAACTCCTCTCACTCCACGCGCTCTCTCTCTCTCTCCCCCTCCCCCTCTCTTTTGTACACTCTGTCTGCCTCTCTTTCTATCTCTGTTTACTTATTTACTTTTGTCTGTCTTCTCTCTCTGTCTTGTCAGCTGTATCTCTCCCTTTCTCCTTCTGTTTGTGTGGCTGTGAAACTTTTTTTCTCGATTTGAAATGTGACTGAAATTTTAATGCCAAAATTTTGTGTGCTTTTCCATCTCTTTTTCTCTTTCTCTATAGCTATAGCTATCTCTTTTTGTTGCACAGTAACACAGGATGGGGTGGGGTAGAAGTAGGGAGTGCTGCAGGAGTACGGCGCATTGGGAGGGGGGAAGGCAGCAAGAGGCATATGTGGATTTATTATGCTGATTTTATTTGTTGTCGCTTTTAATAATAAACAACGAAATTTTTATTAATGATTAATAAACGAAGAATAAAGAATATCTGGAGAATCAACGTCATGCTGATGAATCAGATGAATGGAATGGATATATACTCGTATCATAAATCACATATGGGCATATGGGAAGGGGAAGTGCCTGTAGATGGATATCAGAGATAGCGTCAGAGAGTGACGCACTTGGCAGTTGGAGGAATATTACCCAAACCAAGTATAGAATTTAAAAAGATTTTGTTAAAGTTCTAAGAGAAAATATTTTTTATCGTGTATGGAAATTTACTTTTTACAACATCTGGCTTTGGATTTTATAGTTTTTCTTAGTGTAAAATACCCCCAAAAACAGCCCACATTCAAATAATACTGCTTTAAGCTTAATACTGCCATTAATACTACTATTAAAATCCATTTTCGAATACTTAATAAATTTTCAACCTTTTCTGATTTCCATCCGCAGACTTACGCTTGCCGAATTTGCATTTTCCGAATCAATTGTCATTGCCAAAGATGGAAAACCTTCGCATTTGTCACTGGAAAACGAAGATTGCTATCGAACTGAAGCCCAAGGCATAGTTACAAAAGGGGTAAGTACCCTCTGCTACCCTGTTCTTTAGGCAGAAACTCTTCTGCATCCACTAAAAATTCCCTGCTGAATCCTTCAATGGAAATTGTATTCCTGATTGAAATGAATTTAAACTTTGATAAGTGCACCCATGACTTTTCATTGGATTTTTCAACACTAAGGTGTTGCAAGTATTTTCCACACAGCGCGAAAAGTAAGAGAAATGTGAAAACATTTGTAATTTGCATCTGCACAACGCTCCACTCTTGGGAGAGTCTTCAACCACTGCGGGAAGTTGAACTTTATAATGAGATTTAATGGCGCCACTGGGAGGCAAACGTCCAGAAGTTAGGCAAGGCAGGCAGGAAACGGGAGCAGGTCCAAGTGCTGCTGCCGCCGCGTAGCCTGTAAGTGAGCATTAAATCATTTTGGGCAGAAGAGCGGATAAGGCCTGGAGCCTGGAGACCACTAGAGGAAGGGAAGAGCAGGTATCGGGTTACCTTTGCCTGCAACATAAATCTTTGTGCCTCATCTTTTGCGATAAGCGGAAAATATTCAAAAATGAATTATTAAACCCCCGAAATGTGGCTCTGCCTCTGCCACTCTCTCCTTCTGCCTTCTCAACCCCCCGAGGGCGGCACCTCCTCGTGGCATCCACAAGGAGATCCATCATTTTCTAATTAGAGTCCAATCTGTTCTCTGGACGAGGTCCTGCCTCTCTCCATTCCCCTCTCCCATGTGCTGCCCCAACATATGAGGGGGGGAAAAAGTTTCCGCCTTTTGACCACATTTCTGTGGTAGCAAGTGTTAATAATGGCATTTCGAGGAGAGGACACGAGGACTCCTGGAGCAATCCTCTGCCTTTCTCCGCTTCTCCTGCGGTAAATGAAATTAAATTGTCCTTTTTCATTTTGATGCATATCAGTGTGTGGCAGGGACAAAGGGAGGGAAGTTGTGTGTTTTTTTTTTTTTTTTTTTGTATTCATTTGTTTAATCCTTCTAATTAATTATCTAGCTTTAATAATACTTTAAATATAATAATAATAATAATACTTCTTACACTAGTGGGTATACTCATACTAAGGGCCGTATTTTCTGGTGGGAGTGGGCGCCCGTCGCGCGCGGTACTGCCGCAAAGCATTGCTTCGCACGCTCGAAGGCTCCTACTCCGCCTCCTGTTTACGACTCCTCTCCAATGCTCTCAGCGTTCGCATAACGCTCGAGGCGAACTCTGCGGCCGCTTCCCATGTCCTTGGCTCGGCCAGCATGATCGGCACCAAGGTCTCGGAGGAGATCCTGGCGCCTACTGCTGTCTCCATGCGGTGTCGCTCGTGGTCGAACCGGTGGCATTCGAAGAGGACGTGCTGTGCATCCTCCACTATGCCGGTGCCGCACTCTGGGCACCAGTCCTCCGTCTCGTGGCCAAAGCGCTTGAGGTAGCTGCGGAAGCAGCCATGACCGCTAAGCGCTTGGGTGAGGTAAAAATCTACCCGGCCGTGCTTCCTCTCCATCCAGGCTTGCAGCTTCGGTATGAGGGTGTAAGTCCAGCGCCCCTTAGTTGACCTGTCCCACTGGTTCTGCCATCTGCTGATGCTGTTCCTCCTCGCTGCAGCCTTCAGCTCTGCTCTTGTCGCATCGCTTTCGCCCTGCACGGCTGTATGGATCTCCGCTCTCTCCCTTATTAGCTCCCTGAGTGGGACTTGCCCCGCAATGACTAGCGCAGCTTCGTCCGACACAGTCCGGAACGAGCACGCTATTCGTAGGGCACACAGCCTGTACGTCGCCTCAACGCCTCGCATGTAGGTCTTTACCTGAGCGGCTTTCGCCCACGCGGGCGCTGCGTACAGGATCTGCGACGTCACAACACTCGTCAGGAGCTTCCGCGTTGCCTGCTTCGGACCTCTGGTGTTGAGGAGCATCCGTGAGAGCGCTCCTGCGGTTCCGCTGGCCTTCCTCTGCACGTACTCCAAGTGCTCCTTGAAGGAGAGGCGAGNTCTGCGGCCGCTTCCCATGTCCTTGGCTCGGCCAGCATGATCGGCACCAAGGTCTCGGAGGAGATCCTGGCGCCTACTGCTGTCTCCATGCGGTGTCGCTCGTGGTCGAACCGGTGGCATTCGAAGAGGACGTGCTGTGCATCCTCCACTATGCCGGTGCCGCACTCTGGGCACCAGTCCTCCGTCTCGTGGCCAAAGCGCTTGAGGTAGCTGCGGAAGCAGCCATGACCGCTAAGCGCTTGGGTGAGGTAAAAATCTACCCGGCCGTGCTTCCTCTCCATCCAGGCTTGCAGCTTCGGTATGAGGGTGTAAGTCCAGCGCCCCTTAGTTGACCTGTCCCACTGGTTCTGCCATCTGCTGATGCTGTTCCTCCTCGCTGCAGCCTTCAGCTCTGCTCTTGTCGCATCGCTTTCGCCCTGCACGGCTGTATGGATCTCCGCTCTCTCCCTTATTAGCTCCCTGAGTGGGACTTGCCCCGCAATGACTAGCGCGGCTTCGTCCGACACAGTCCGGAACGAGCACGCTATTCGTAGGGCACACAGCCTGTACGTCGCCTCAACGCCTCGCATGTAGGTCTTTACCTGAGCGGCTTTCGCCCACGCGGGCGCTGCGTACAGGATCTGCGACGTCACAACACTCGTCAGGAGCTTCCGCGTTGCCTGCTTCGGACCTCTGGTGTTGAGGAGCATCCGTGAGAGCGCTCCTGCGGTTCCGCTGGCCTTCCTCTGCACGTACTCCAAGTGCTCCTTGAAGGAGAGGCGAGTGTCGATGAGCACCCCGAGGTACTTGATTGCCCTCTGCGAGCGTATCGTGGTGCCACCGACCTGCACACTTGCAGTCTCTACAGCTTTCCGGCTCGATATGAGCACCGCCTCGGTCTTCTGCGCTGCCAGGTCCAATCCGGCGAAGTTTGGGAAGTTGTGTGTGTGTGTGTGTGTGTGTGGCAGTGACAATAAATTAATATTAGCGTGTGTGGACCACAAGAGGCACACACTCCACCCACCCCATGTGGAACGAATGAACTAATAAAGCATATGGATGGACATGTAGGAGAGGCAGGGAGAGTGGCACAAGGATGTTGCATGTTTGTGTTATGTAAGAAGAGAGATAGGAGAGAGTGCTGTGGGTGGACGAGTGGGCCATGCCATGCAACATACTTGTACGTGTGTGCCCGTGAAGTTCGACTGGTGTCATGTTGGCTGACAGTCGACACAGCAAAAGAAATAGGAGTAGGAGTTGGTGGATAATCTCCGAGGAGACAGGAATGAATGAGAGTGTGAGAATGGGGAAGGACATGCGGGGGTAGAAGGAAACATCAGTGTCAATCAATTTGTGCAAACAGAAATGGCCTTTGGATGATGTTGATGAGCGGAAACCTGCACCAGCGACTAATTGAGGGCAGAACGAGATAGAGCAACAGGAAGAGAAAGTGGCTGTGGAAAGCTACAGGAAGAGGAATAGAAGAAGCAGGAACAATATTTATATTAAAGGAACAGGTGCAGAAGGAGCAGAGGTATGAAGGAACAGGACCAGGAGCAATAGTTATCAAGGAACAGCATAACAAAGGAGTTAGAAGGAATGTTAGTACGAAAAATGCGATCAACAAGATCTGGAGTTTCATTTAGTTTCATTTCCCTGAACTTCGCTCTTTTTCCACTTGATTTCCTGTGGTATATCATCAGAAACAACCGAAATACACCTGCCAGATCATATATTCTATTGCTTTCCGCATTCATCATTCAGTTTTTTGGTCAAATAGCTTTCCCGCTGACCTCTGTTGACCCATAGATACATGTCTACCTCTATTCCACATTTATTTGCTCTACCATTTGGAACATTTCGGACCAACCAAACAATCTAAGAAAAATTTCTCCCATTTTTGGCAGCAATTTGCTGACGACGACTGTCGACAGACGACGGGTTTTTGTGGTTTGGGTAATTGTTGCCATTCATTCAAAGGACAAACACACGAGTATTCCAAGGGGGGAGAAGTTTCCTCATATGAGGAACTTAATGACACACACCCACACACGCGCAGATAATCACTGCCCCCTGCCACACCCCCCGCGCATCATTTAAAAGAGAGACACTGAGGGAGAGGGAGGTTGAGAGACGCCGCTCTCATGCATTATTCATTGCACGGCCCCTCACGCATTTTGCCTCATTTTCCTGCCGCTGTTGCTGTTGTTTTCCTGCTTCAAAGAAATTGCCACAACAGCAAGTGAAAATTTAATAAAGAGAAATTTCCTTGGCTCTTGTCTTGTCTTTGGGGTTTTTCTCTCGCTAACGAACCTCCTGTGTGGCTGAGAGCAACAGAGACAGGAATCAGCGGTCAGTGGGTAGAGGGGAAGTTCTCTGATTTTACGAGTTATTCCACTTCTTTCAGTTACTGAGACGGCAATTAAATACATTCAAAATGAACGCCTCTGACCAGCAGATGATAATGGGGCTTATTAATGTAGAGGAGGAGTATCCTTGGAGCATGTGTGTATGTCCTATATCGGAAAAGTCGAATGATATGATTGGAGGCTGCTCATTTTGGCACTGCTTTCGCTCCAATGTTCCCGTTTTCATTATTTCGAATGTCCTTCAAGCACTCTGTTTCATTGCCATTATTCGAAATGTCCTTTTTCATTATGGAGAAGCAATTTGAATGCAAATATCTTAAAACAGCAGCTGCCTCCGCCTCCTGCAAGATGTCTGTGCCTATAAAAAAGCGTTGAGATTCGCTAATTAAACGGGGAAAAGCAGCAGAGTGGGTGGGAGAGGGGGCAGCAGCAGTAAGGGGTATCATCCGTGTCAAATGTTAAATGGTTTGTGACTGCACGGAAGGGTTAAGCAGAGAGAACGTGTTGTTGAAATTAGCATTAATTGGTCATTGGCCGCCACTCGACCCCACCAAACGCTGAATGGGCCACCAGGGAGCTCTTCCAGGGCCTCTTAAACAAGGCCAACAAAGCAAAAGCCACACAAAAAAGGCACAAGAGAAAGCAGAGAATGTGTAGGCCAAGGAAAATGGGAAAACAA